AGGTACAAACATAACAAGTTGGGGGGACTCGAGTCAAGATGGCAGCCTAACCGTGGTCATCTGAGCTGGCTTGACCTCAGGTGTCTTTGAGCTCTCCTTCAGGGGAACAGTCCAAGGCCCTTATCAGAGGAGTGAGTCCTCCTTAGGGTGGGACAGACAATAGGGTCTGATTGGTTTTGATGGCTGACAACCTTTAGGCAGATAGCCTTTAAGCAGTTGACCTCCAAGTGTGTAGTCAGTGACCGTATGTTTGCAAACAGCACCTTAAGTTTGGCTTTATTATGGGAGGACATATCATGGGGAATAACTTTCAGTTAGGAGAATGTGAGTGGGACCCATCTCCAACCCAAGAATGTGAAGGTTTCCTCCACGGGAGCCCTGGCGTCCCGGACTCCTTAATGGATGACTGTTGACAGTTTGTCCGCATACACTCTTTCGGTTTTCAGTTTTCCATATCTGTTGTATTTATGAGCCAGAACTAACTTACCAACACATGACAACAACAAGGCTAGGTAGCTAGTTTAGGGACAGGGGGTTGTCCCTCCCATGTCTGCAAAGGCCCCCATAGAAGAGGTTGGAAAGAAATCAGGCAACCATTAGACACCTATGAAGACCCCAAACTGAGCGTGCTCATACTCAAGCCCCAGAGTCAGGTGGGAAGTACACCTGGGTGGGCCAGACTAGGCCCCGGCTCATGACATCACTCAGGTGGGCCTAACTCAGCCAATGGGGTCAACCAATACCATCAACCATACCTTCCCCCAGCCAGAGGGGTGAGCTAGAATAAAGGCTGGGAGCATGCTCTGGGACTCTCTCCTACCCTGTTCCTGGTCAGAGGAAGGGGGAGGGGGAGGGTCTCCCTACTCTGCATGGGCCCTTTCTCGGGGCCCACAGGCTCTCAGCCTCTAGGGTTCTTGGGCTTCTGGCCTCCTGGGATCCTGCCCCTCCACTGCCCCGCAGTTCCGAACACATGGGTGCTCTTTTCCATGTGGTTGCTCATACCCAGTATAAAACCTGAAACTTGTCCTTCATAGAAAACCACTTGGATCACACAACGTGTTCAGGATAAATTCTTTGATTGTGCAAAGAACCGAGGTATTACCAACTCCAGAAACCTAACAGATATGGAATGGAAATTTACCTAGCTTTACATTTATTTATAGAAAAAAGTATAACTCATATATAACTATACTCATCTCTGTTTTTTCTAAGTATATATAAATAGATACATTTGGGAATGTCAATATGAGAACTTCAAAAAGTTTGTGGGAATATTCCACTGTCTTTCAATTCCAGTTTCCCCAAACTTTTTGAAGCCCCTTGATATAAAGTCCTGACAAGGTTTGGTTTTGTTTTCTAGGAATTGGCATCACGAATCCATGTTGGTATGTACTTTGCCTTGCTAATTTGTGTTTTCCAACGGGTCTTCGTGAACATGTATTACTTGTCCTTGTCTGGTTTAAGACTTAATAAATGTTCTCTTCCAATTAAAAAAAGAAAAAGAACGTGGATTTTTGTATCTCGTGAAAAAACATTTCTTACCAGTCACTGTTGCCTTGCAGTTGACGGGAGTGGAAGAAATGAGGGTGCTCCAGTTCTGCTTGGCCACCGACAGGGGCCAGCGTGAGCAAGCTAGCTGGTCTGGCCTGGAGAGAGCTTGCAGGCAGCAGCCCAGGGCTTACACTATTAAGTGACCCCAGTCCATCCTCCCAGAGACAAGCAACAACTCAGAAAGAAGATTCTTACAAGAAAAGACTTCCACAGCCACCTTTATTTGCCCCACATCCACCACAGTAAGGCACGGCTGAGGCTGCCGATGTCTCCCTTTCAAGAATTCGGAATGTCTTTAAACCATACTTTCCCTTACTTACTTTCTCATCTTTCCAATCTCAGTGTTCATCCCTAATCCCTCCACGGCCCTCAGGCACTGTTAACCTCTCCCTCTTCTGTGCATTCACAAGACATCCTGCGTATTTCTACCAGAGCGGCCTCCACATTACGTAATGGTTTGTATTATCTGTCTTTGCCATCAAACCATAATCTCCTTAACAGTGGGGCTCTTTTTGATCACTTTATCCTCAAAACCAAAAAACTCACTAACTCCTTGTGATCCTACAGGACAGGGTAGAACTGCTCCTGTGGGTTTCTGAGACTAACTCTTGACGAGAGTAGAAAACCCCGTCTTCTTCCCTTGGAGCGGCTGGTGGTTTCAAACGGCTGACCTTGCAGTTACCAGCCCAACTCCTCACCCACTATGTCACCAGGGCTCCTTCCTGCGTCCTCCACACCTACACAATTCCTGGGAAACAGTGGATATTCAACATTGACCTGTTACAGGAGGTGGCTCATCTTCACTCCCTTGACCCTTTCTGCAAGTGGAATGAGTACGTCACTTCCCTTTCCCTAAAGGCTTGCATTTGCCACTTCTTCCTGGATTTCAAGACTTCTTTAACGCTTGCACATGTTTGCACATGCAAGTGCCCCTGAGCTAGTGGGTGCCGACGTATGCCCACATCTGTGTGCATTACAAGGCCTGTGGTTGACTTCCAGCTACAGACTTTGTGATTTCCACAAAATGACCCAGTGAAACAAGGTAGATAGAGTGTCTATGGCCCACCAAAAGGATGGGACAAGCTCAGAATGCAAATAAGGTGTGTGAAACCCCTGTAGGGACCACACAGATAAGGTGTGTGGAACTGTAGCCAGGGGCTTGACCAGAAAGCCAACCCCAGAGTGAAAGGAGGGCCTCTCTACTATTAAGAGACCAGCGCAGAATGCATCCTTTGGACTGGAGTCCAAGTGTTGAGGACCTCTTAAGCCCAGGAGACATCAGGGAGGGTGCAAGGCAGATGTGGCAGCAGAGCCAGGAGACCGGTGTGAGACAGCACTGTGAGCCTCTTGGCCTATAAAACAAGGAAATAACGGGAGGTATAGTGACCTACGGATTGCCAGAGCTGAGTGTCTTCGTGCAAGAGATTTGCTGGCAGGGTAAGTTGCCTCAAGGCTTTTGGCAGAGCTAGGATAGCTGACCCACGGAGCTAGAGAGCTGAGCTCCTGAGGGCCAAGGCCTGCTGACCAAGCAGGATACCTCTGAGCACTATTAGTGGATCGCAAGAGTTTGGTAACACTTGCCAAAGCAGTGTGCTGGCCTGAGGCTGTACAGCAAGGAGAGGCATGACAGGTTGTCCTTACCAAAGAACTGTATCCCGATTTGTTCTTGAACCTGAATTATAACCAGGTAATTCTCTGAGGGTTGTCTGTGAGTTCTGTGTGGTCGTTACAAAGAATCATCGAACTCAGCAGGAGAGAGTCCCGAAAGTGGGACAACTGGTGTCGGAACTGGTAAAAAGGCTGGAGAGAAGAGGAGGTCTGACCTCCGTAGGAAGCAGCCTTGGCCTGATGCTGATGGTGAGGCTCTCTCCCTAGGGAAGTTGGAGGCGGTCCGGTGCCCCCATCATGTCATTTTTACGTTGAGCACTCAGTCCTGGGGATACAGGAGCGAGCAAACAGCCCTGGTCCCGCCTGGTGCTTACAGTTGGAGCACAGGAGATGAGCAAGACACAAGCAGCATGGTGAGTGAATGCTTTGGAAGCAGAGCAAGGCACGTCAGCGGGTCATGGGTCAGGCACCGGTTTCTTAGGCACTGACCTGCCTGCTAAAGGCTCCAAGTCAGTAGAAGGTGGTTGGGAGAAAAATAGGTGACAAAAGAGCCACAAAGCAAAATGCCACACCTCTGTTTTAAAAGTCCTCAAGTGTGGGGGAGGAGTAGGTAGAAAAAGAATGTGCAAAGAATGAAAAAACGGGGGAAGGGAGCACTAGAATGGATTGTAATGACTTGAATCCTCTTAAAGGCAATTTGACCACGGGGGAGAGGAAAACCCCACAACTGATGAGAGGGTGATTGTACAGCTCTCCGTGATATGATTCAGTGCATTGTTGAATTATGACATGTAAGTTACTTGTGAATAAAACTGGGGGGAAATCTGAATAAAATGTAGAATTTAGTTGCTAGTCAAACTCTAAAACAAACACTAAAAACCTCACTTGGGATAATGATTCAGTAACCCTAGAGGACAGGGCAGAAAGCCTCATCTTACTATTGCAGGGAAACTAGTGGTTTTGAACTGCTGGCCTTGTAGTTAGCATCCCAATAGGTAAGCAGGAGGCCACCGTTGCCAATGGCTACAGTGACGGTTAGAGTGGACCAGAAGTTGGAGTAGACATGGATGGGGCAAAACAGCCATGCTGTATAGAAAATTGGATGTTTTGGTTCACAGTAACCAAAACAGACAAACCAAAAGACGCAAGTTCTTTAAATTTCAAGGGAATGGGCATGGCATTATTGGCTCAGTAGCTACAAGATCAAAGATGTGATCAAGTGTCGGCCTCTCTGGCCGATGGCTTCCTTCTGCACAGAGTCCTGGTGAGCTGGCCCTCTGATTCCCTAGGCTACAGCAGTCAAGACCGGTGTGGGAGGGAGGGGGAGAACTGCTCAGGGAGGAGGGTCCCAGATCTGTCACAGACCTTTCCCAGGGGAAGGGCAGGAAGCTTGACCTTTGAGGTTTTTATATGGGTACAGAGGGCAGCTGTTGGCTGTTCGTAAATCGGAAGCGCATAGCCCTGATCTAATTCTCTAAAGGCCTCAAATGCATTGTCTTCGTTATATCATCTCTGTCGGGGTGCAGAATCATTTGGATTTGGTGTAAAAGAAAAAGGAAAAAAAGGGAGGGAACCCTAAAACGTCTTCCTAACTTCCGCTCCCGGCCACTCACCCCCCCCTCCCCCCCCGGGCCCTGCCCCACTTGCTTACTCAGGCTGCTGCTTCGCTTGCAACCTTGGGCCCCTTCCAAACTCACATCTCCTCCCGCCTCCCCAGGTAGCGGCCTCAGAACTCCACCGCCCGTGCACCCGCCTGCTCCGCCTCACACAGACTCGCACTGGGCAGGATCAGCCGAAGGACATCTCACCCAGAGTCCGCCTTTTTTCTGGGACCAGGCGCTTCCGCCTCCGGGGCGAAGGCTCCTCCCCCGCCATCCCAATCGTATTCCCTGGAAGAGCCAGCGCCCGCTCCGGCCCGCTCCCGACGGGCTTAGCTAGGAGCCGGTCGCTCCCACAGCCCGCTTCCGGATCCCCCAAATCGCCGAGGCGGCGGTCACCGCAGCACGAGCCGGGCCCGGCTTCAGCACCACGGACAGCGCCCAGCCCGGGCGCGCGAGTGATCGGGGCGCGGCGGCGAGCTATGCCCGCAGCATGGCCCGGCGCTCGGGGCCCGTGGCGCTGCTCTTCAGCTTCGGCCTCTTTGGGCTGTGCCCAGGTACGGACGAGCACCGGCCAGGCCCGACCCCGGCCAGGGGCTCAGGATTTGCCACGCTCTGTTGTCCCACTCCGACCAGGCTGGAAGGTGGGATGGGGCCAGCTCCCAGGGGACTTAGGGAGCCTGTTGGGGTTTAGGGGACTGGCCCCAAGGGACCGGATGGAGCGCCTAGCAGAGATGGGGGGAGATGTGATCCGAAGAGTGTGTGAAAGCGGGGTGGGGGGTGGGGGGGCAGTGTGGACATGGAGAGGAGGGAGGAAGAGGAGCCCCCAAGCTTTCTGCCGCGGCAGGAGGGCAGTCAAGGACCACAGCCATTTGGTTTCTGGGTGAACTATATTCTCAAGAAATCCACCTAGGCCAGCGCCCTTGCCTTTGTCACTAACATTTCCTCGAATCTGCTTTGGGCTTCCAAGTCCGATCGCCCCCCAGAGAAAGCGGAGAGAATTGTAGGGTGGGACAGGAAACCTTGAAGAGGCTGAGGGTGCGGAAGTAGTGCTCATGGGGCGGGGCTCTGCGTGAGGGCAGAGTTGGGGGTGCGGAGCCAACTGGATAGCTTTCCACTGCCCAGGCCACCGCGAAGGGGCTGGGCACTTGGGCTTGATGTATGTCCTGACCCAGAGCTCAGGGAACCGAAATCGTCTATTTCAACCCAATGCTGTTTTGGGACGGGGCAGCTAGGGCCCCAGTGTCACGTGGAGCACATAATGTTAGCCGCACACGCAGAGGGGCCCTGAGGAAGGTGTGCAGTGGAACGTGAACAGCTGTTCTCCCTTCACAACTCTGCCAAACCTACCACAGCCACCTGCTGGGGCGTCACAGATGCAGAACGGCAAGCCTTCGGAGCCATCCTTTGAGACCTTCGGGCAGTGGTTCTCAACCTTCCTAAGGCCGCGACCCTTTAATACAGTTCCTCATGTGGTGGTGACACCCCCAACCATAACATTATTTTCGTTGCTACTTCATCACTGTAATTTTGCTACTGTTGTGAATCAGTAGACATAGACCCTTGTGAAAGGGTCGTTTGCCCCCAAAGGGGTCGAGACCCACAGGTTGAGAAACCACTGCCTTAGGGGAAGAGTACCTCACCCAAACCAAACTAAACCTACTGCCACCGAGTTGATCCCGGCTCATCATGCCCCTACAGGACAAAGGAGACCTGGTCCCTGTGGGTTTTCACGATTTCTCTGGGTTCTCAGGCTGGAGGGATATGGGACAGTCCTTTTAGAGAGGGGCTTCTTATGAGGGTCTTGGTCTGGGGCTTCCAGAGGATCAGCCATGCATTTTTGGGGGGTAGCTATGAGTCAGAATCGACCTGATGGTGGTGAGAGTTGAGTTTAGGAATGGAACAGTGGGAACTGCAGCCTCCTGATTGAGCCTGAGTGGGCCCTCCCTGCATACCTACGTACCTTCTGTCCACGCCTGCCCAGAGGTGTGGGGGACAGATACGGAGGAGCGGCTGGTGGAACATCTCCTGGACCCTTCTCGCTACAACAAGCTCATCCGCCCAGCCACCAATGGCTCTGAGCTGGTGACCGTCCAGCTCATGGTGTCGCTGGCCCAGCTCATCAGCGTGGTGAGTCGGGAGGGCCGATGGCGTTAGCATGGCTGGAGTGTGCACGTCTGCGCCGACTCCTCTGGCGACCCTGAGGCTTGGAGAGCCCTGGGAGGGGGCAGGGGGCAGCGGGTCCACAGGCAGCGAGGGTCTGCTCAGCAGCTTCTCTCCTTCACAGCATGAGCGGGAGCAGATCATGACCACCAATGTCTGGTTGACTCAGGTTAGTGCCCCTTCCCCCCACCCCACCCCCTTGGCCCTCTCTTTTGAATCCTTCTGTCTGAAACACCTGCTTCCCCCTCTGCAGTCTCCGGTGGGATCTCAAATAGTGGACTTTCAAGCATGGTTCTGTCACTTAGCAGCGCTGTGACTTTGGCCAGGCTTCACTCACGGAGCACAGTTTTCTTATTTGTGACATGTAGAATCTGCTACCAGAGCTGGGCGATGCGGATCAAATGAGAAAGTATTTTACGAGCCACACGCGCTCACTGTGGGGACACTGACTTGTGAGGTCCCCGAGGTCCCTCTCGCCCCTGGGTCCCAGCAGGACCGGGGCTGGTGCTGCTTCTCTTGCTCCTTCCCCAGGAGTGGGAGGATTATCGCCTCACCTGGAAGCCTGAGGAGTTTGACAACATGAAGAAAGTTCGGCTCCCATCCAAGCACATCTGGCTCCCAGATGTAGTCCTATACAATAAGTAGGTGGCTCTGGGGCAGTGGGGGGTGGAGGGCTGTGGGAGTGCTCAGCAAGGGGAGGGGCCGTGGGGAGAGCAGGGGCTTTTTATTGGCTGATTCACGGATGGTCAGCTCTCAAGGGGGCCATGGAAACCCCATCCCAGTAGACTAGAACTCCTAATGTTTGCACCTGCAAGGGTACAAACTAGAATTGTCAGCCCCTGCTACCTAAATTGGTCCAACAATAGGCTTTCCTGGGAGCCTGTGTAAGATCAAAGAACCTTAAAGTCCCAATTTTCTCCCCCAAGCGCCATCCCCATTCCTGTCACAATCTCGCTCACCTCCCAGACACAAATCTACTTCCATCCACTGATATGTCATCTCCTGGGCCCACCTGCCCCTGTACTTCTCCACGGCCTGGAGGGTCTCACAGCCTTCTTGGCTTCCCCAAGCTCTCTACCCTCATGCGAAGCAGCCAGCTCACACAATGCATGACAAGTAGCAGCTGTGCCCTCCGGACCCTCCGGTTCACCTGCGAGGAGCCACACTAGCCTCTTGACAAGGACACTTCTTCTCCCCACCAACACATTTCCTCGCTCATGCTGCATTCCAGCACCGTGTCTTTAAACCCCTCAGCCCTGGGCCACCTCCTCTCTCCGTCTGGCTTTCCTCCCCTCCCACTCGGGGCTGGGTTGGTGAGCATGGGCACGAGACTGCTCAGGCCAGTGCTGACTGTGTCCGCCCCTTGGCAGCGCTGACGGCATGTACGAGGTGTCCTTCTATTCCAACGCCTTGGTCTCCTACGACGGTAGCATCTTCTGGCTGCCGCCCGCCATCTATAAGAGCGCGTGCAAGATCGAGGTCAAGCACTTCCCATTTGACCAGCAGAACTGCACCATGAAGTTCCGCTCGTGGACCTACGACCGCACCGAGATCGACCTGGTGCTCAAGAACGACGTGGCCAACCTGGACGACTTCACACCCAGCGGGGAGTGGGACATCGTGGCTCTGCCAGGCCGGCGCAACGAGAACCCGGACGACTCCACCTACGTGGACATCACCTACGACTTCATCATCCGCCGCAAGCCGCTCTTCTACACCATCAACCTCATCATCCCCTGCGTGCTCATCACCTCCCTGGCCATCCTGGTCTTCTACCTGCCGTCCGACTGCGGCGAGAAGATGACGCTGTGCATCTCCGTGCTGCTGGCGCTCACCGTCTTCCTGCTGCTCATCTCCAAGATCGTGCCGCCCACCTCCCTGGACGTGCCGCTCATCGGCAAGTACCTCATGTTCACCATGGTGCTCGTCACCTTCTCCATCGTCACCAGCGTCTGCGTGCTCAACGTGCACCACCGCTCGCCCACCACGCACACCATGGCGCCCTGGGTCAAGGTCGTCTTCCTGGAGAAGCTGCCGGCGCTGCTCTTCATGCAGCAGCCGCGCCACCGCTGCGCCC